TGAGGAGAGCCACAGTTAGAGGCTAGAAGGCTTTAATGTTTTGGTCAATTATTCTCCCCAGGGAGAACATGCAACACTATGTGCTACTCTTTGTTTATACCCAACAAGCACCAAATTTCACAAATCCCACTCGTAAGATTTTTCATTTTAGCATTTGACAGAAAACTTAATGCTTAAGTAAATACTTACGGTTTTGACGTCATTCTTAAGGTAAGTCCTGAGCAATCTCTATGATGGTCTGCAGAAAAAAACAAAAACTTTTCTGAGCACTATCATCACCAAAGTCGACATTTCCATAAATCATATAAAGATAAGTGGTATGTTATGGTATGTTAGACAGCTTTAAACATGATACAGTACAATTCAAAAGCAAAAGAGACTTTAAGGTGGGCGGCTGTGGCTCAGAGGAAGAGCGGAAGGTTGTTGGTTCAATCCCCAGCTCCTGCCACATGTCGAAGTATCCTTGAGCAAGATACTGAACACCGAATTGCTCTCAATGCTGTGCATCGGTGTGTGAATGTGTATGAATGCGTTAGTTCCTGTTCGCTGAGTGAATGTGTGTGAAAGGGTGAATGTGGCACGTAGTGTAAAAGCGCTTTGAGTGGTTGGAAGACTAGAAAGGCTATACAAGTACAGGTCCATTAAATCAATTTAGGACAGTATGCTGGACAGCTAGACAGCTTTTTCAAGTCAAACCATGTGAGGACATTCACTATTATCACAATAATGGAAATTCACCACAATAAATTTATTTGAGTGTTTTTCTATCACGATACGTGATAATATTGTATATTGTCCCATCCCTAGGTTCTTCGTTGTTGGGATTGTATCGTTTTACTTATTATGAGATGTTGAAATACGATCCAGGCAGGTCAGTTTAAGTGATACATCCAAAAGTTTTAAGACTTTTCACCTTAGCACCATAACACTGCACAGAAGTTTATAGTAGAGAGTGTTTTTTAGTGCGTAAATAGTGTATATTGTCCCATCCCTACAGTCCACAGCCATGCAAGTGGCCCTATGAAGTTGTACTTTAGGCATAGTGGTGTTTTGAGCTAAATGCACATTTTAGTTTAGCGTGTTAGCAGGCTAACACTTGCTAATTAGCACTAAACACAAAGCAAAGCTAAGGCTGATTGGAATGTCGTTTTTTCTTGTATTTGGTCATAAACTAAAGTATTAGACAAACCAAAGTGATAACAATTAATCCTGAGTAGGGCATGAAGGTGTGTAAAACCTTTCATGGCAATCCTCATGATGACACTAGACAAAAGAGGGTTATAACCAAAGTCAGAATCAGAATCACTTTAATTGGCCAGGTATATGCACGCATACAAGGAATTTCACTCCGGTTTTACTCTCTATGTACAAACACAGACTAGAATAAATAGCATGAATAAACAGGACAACGAGCTCAACAAAAACTCATAAGGATTCATCCTCTGGGAAATATGAACTAAACCAAAATGTGCACCTAACCATCTGGTAGATGTTGCAATATTTCATAGAATAAGAAGCTCAGTCAGGCAATCACCAAACCAGCATTCATCCTCCAAATCAGTATTTGAGTGATTAGTTTTTTTAAGGTCAGGTCGAAGAAGGATCATGCTGTGTTTCTCATATAGACTTTATTTGGGCAGGCCATCCATGTATGTTAATTTGCACCGACCCATTTTAGGCCTGCCAGACTTACTTCGTAGACCATCGTAAAATAAGTCATTCAAATTGGACGAAAACAAAATAACCGTCTTTGTTAGTCTTTCCA